TCCTCCCTCTTAAGGGGATAATCTTCTGTTTACACCAGGCTTGTCTCCTCATAGATTCTCTCTGGCATTAGGAAGCCACTGTTCTTACTGTAAGCTTTAGGACATTAAGCTTTACAGTTATAAAACTTCCAAAGCTAACTCTTTTATTTACAGAAAGGCTGTTCCAGTGAGGATCCACTACAGCATTTTCCATTCCTGAAAGCTTCATTAAAATTAAGATCATCTACAATAAAAGCAAAATGTCAGGTGTGTTGTGCCCATAAGCAGAAATGCCAGATCTGGAACAATTAAATTGTCTTTATATTACAAGTGTCATAACATTATCTGGGGACTTGCTACTTAATATTTGTGTTCCTGTTTATTTAGTTTTTTTTTTAATATTGTGATTATCAGGTTGCTTTTTCACCTCAAATATGGAATGCTTGATTTCTTGTAATTCTTTCTAAATCTCTGTAGCCTATAAACTCGGAATGATAATTCAAGGTCAGTAAGAATCTCCAGTCTCTCCACATCTCCCCAAGTTACAACTTCATTTAAAGGTTCTTTGGGCTTTGACAAACTATCTTGTTGTTGAAAAGCTAACTGCGAGCAAGTTGTTGAGTCTTAACAGTGACTCTGCTGAGGAATTCCTCTTTTTAAATACTTGTTGTACTGCTACTGAAACACTATCAAAATGTGCCTTCAAAACTTTATAATTTCACCTTTTTCATTTTAATACAGGACAACTTCCCCAACCTAACATTCTAAAATTAGAACACTCTTAACCTGTACGTACAGCTGATTCAAGCAGAAATGTCTTGGGGGTCGAAAAAACAAATGTTTAAGAACTTTGAGAGATGATTTTAAACACTTTAAGATAGGCATCTTAAGATGCTATGTGAAAGTGGAGAAAGTACTCTTCAGTTTTAACTTGAAACCCACATTGTGTTGTTTTAGCAAAATAAAACATAGGAGCCACCTTTCTCCTTCTCCTGTGTAGTGATCAAACAGAGGAGCTCTGATAGTGGGCCAAGCTGGTGATAGCTGTTTGACTTTGGTGCTTCTAGTCTGTTTCAATAAAAGCAGGGCCATGCTTTTTGAGGTAGTTTGGTAATTAATTACAAAATTAGATGGCTAATGATTTTATCGATTTTATCAGTGCATTGGAGGTGAAGAGTGTACAGTGGCTAGGCTCTGTCAAGGTCATTAACATAAGGAATAAAAGGCACTGAAACACACCTGTCTTCTGATCTTTACTTTGTACGCATCACTAAACATATTGACTGTGAACTTTCTCACCATTCTTATAATAATAATAATAATAATAATAATAATAATAATTGCTTACACTTATATAGCGCTTTTCTGGACACTCCACTCAAAGCGCTTTACAGGTAATGGGGACTCCCTTCCACCACCACCAATGTGCAGCATCCACCTGGATGATGCGACGGCAGCCATAGTGCGCCAGAATGCTCACCACACACCAGCTATCAGTGGGGAGGAGAGCAGAGTAATGTAGCCAATTCATAAATGGGGATTATTAGGAAGCCGTGATTGGTAAGGGCCAATGGGAAATTTGGCCAGGACGCCGGGGTTACACCCCTACTCTTTTCTAGAAACACCTGCTTAGCTTCAGTCATTCTTATCTTCTAAGTACCTTGCAGTGTTCAGTTTTTATTGCAAACATCCGTACTACTGTGTTCAACATTGACCTGTTGAACACAAGTCAGCAGTGCCTGCTGCTCACAATCACACACCACACCAAAGACGCAGGCACGAGTCTGCAGTGCTGTGAACTGGATTGGGGCCATCTGTGGATCCATGTAGCACAGGCTAATGTGTGTGTGTGAAATGCTCAGAATTTTATGCCAACGTGAATTTTGCAACACTTTCCAAATCCAAACTAAGAGAATTCACAAAGATGCTAAAACATGCATTGTTCTGTTTTATATAGCTCTGAGTGCACTGTCATTGTTTTGTGCTCTTTGCTGTCTTTTCTGCAAAGAGCTGTATTACTGCTCTTTGTTGGTATCATGCTATTAGACATTCAGAGGTTGTATTGCATTGGAATGTACACTCAGACACCACAAGTGGCCTTTGTGACAGCCACATGTAGCAGCTCAACCCTCCGAACCTTGGAGCCACAAGGCACTACTGTGCTTAACCAGGTTTTGGGTCAAATAAGTCCTACTAAGAGGGGCCATTGGCAGGTGTAAAAGCCAAGGGGACTCCTGTTTTTTACCCATATGCTTTGCCCTCTGAAGATGTTTCGCAGAATATCTCCTAGCGAGAATATAGTGACCAAAGGAAGGTGAAGCCCAGAAGTCCCCAGTTAATCCCTCAGTAGTATTTCATACCTATACACTGAGATTGATTTTAGAGCTATTGGGCACTCCATTGCAATACATAGTCTTACAAGAAGAGACCAGTGCTTATGAGCAAAAACCACAGGTTCTGTTGTAAGTGTCCACAGTGTACACATATTCTGTGTATCTGTTTTTTTTTCTTGTGTTTGTTTTTAGGCTGTCCCTTATTGTTGAGACTTTGTAATTAGGTGCATAGCCTTTGTAAACAAAGGCAGATTTGTGGTTCTAAAAATGTATCTCTTTGCTAAATGTTTTGTGGAATACTTCACTAGGATGAATGAATCAACATTTCAGGGTTCCTTCTTCATCCCCGTGCTGTTCTGTAGTAAGAATACGTGGTGATTACATGGCAGTAATTCCAGATTGACATAAGCAATAAAATTAGCAAATGTCAAAATTAGCAATGTCATTTACAGCTGGCCTGCTTAAAGGTGTAGGAAAATATAGATGCACAGAGGAGTTGTTAATGGTGAAAATAACTTCACAGAAAGAGTAAATGAATGTGATCTTTTTAGTGTTATGAAAAAGGGATAAATGTTATATGATTGGGCCTATTTAGAAGACAACTGTGCTGATAATACTGACATAAATGTAGAAATTTCATTTGGAAGCAGAAACAGATGGTTTTGCATTATAATGTACAGTAACTGGCATAATTGACACCCTCTTCAGGATAAATGGGCCCTTTATATCATTGGTTTTGAGCATTAACCTTTGGACCTGTGATGTTTTTAAAAGGCCCGGGTGATATCAGTCAGTATCTGTCAGGATATTCATTAGGGATCTTAGTACTTTGCTGTCAGAAACTATCCATTTTAATCCTAAAATGTGTTTTTATCTGGTAGGCATTGCAGGGTGTGGGGGTGACACTGACTTGTGAACAGAATTAATAGGGGAAAACAATATGGTATCTTTATGCCAGTTAGAGGGCCAGGGTTTTTTTTAAATGTAAATGTATAATAGTGTAAATAAGATGCCGTTGCATTTGCTTCCTTTGACAAGTTGCAGTCTGCAAATCTAGATGTGATTTCTTAATTTAATTTTCTTTTTCTTGAACAGCAAGCAACAGTTTTTTTTGTGGACTGAGGAATATATTGCTACCTATTGCTATCCGTGTGCACAGACAGGCTTAATGAATGTCTGTTTGCTGTCGGGTCTCTCTGGATTTCAACTTTTCACTGTTTAATAACCCTCTTATAGGCTGTCTGTAAACAAAAAGATCTGCTGGTAGCATTCTGCTCAGAGCACTAACTGCGAGTAGGTGAACAAATCCTCCAGATACTGGAACTCAGTTATTATTTTCACCAAACCCATCACCGACGGTTTGAAAAGCAAGACAAATGACACAATTTGACAAATTCTTCGGCTAACAGCAATTTTCCATCTTTCAACATTTGAATATTGGTTTTAAAGTGTAAAAGAAAGATTACGGGTTAATTTGTCATGTGTTGCAGGGTTTTTAAGAGGTTGAGAGAATGTGTATGTGTAAATGATTTGGACCATTTTGTTTTAGTACAAACAACATTTGGTGCATATTGTGTTTCCAGTATAAAGCACAAATTTTATGTGAAATAATGCATTTTCTGGCCCATTCATTTTGAATAACGCCATCATACAATAGTTTTGCTTGTCTGCTTTTGAGTGGACAGCACACCACAGAAATAAAAAAAATAGCCTATATTAGGCTAGACTAAATTCTAAATTCTAGATTAAACTAGACTTTTAACTGGAAAGATGTGGGTTTGAACTTGGTGGGGCACTACTGCTATGTCCTCGAGCAAGGAACCTTACTCAGATTGTTTCAATTAAATGTAAGTACTCTTTGGGTGTGTATCCATGCTTTGGATAAAAGCATCAGCCAAATAAATAATAATAAAAGTCAAAGTGGTGAAATTATTAGTGTAATGTGTTTCTCTATATTTCTCTGAATATATTGTAGCTTAAAGTAAACACAGGACACAGTCTGTCTCATTTGATTGTTGTAGTGACATAGTATAAATTAAAACAAATAAGCATTATAAAACAGCTCATACGGAAGCCTACTATATGTGCAAAATAATTAACAAATCTCCCGCTGGTGGTTGTGAAAACTGGAAGTCTTTATCATCACAATTAAGTGTAATGAATTTGGGAATATAAGCATGTGGTGTGTTGATATTAAAGCTCAGTCCGTAGTGCTATTGTAGTAGTTTTTGTTTTTTAAAAACTTGATAAAATCCATCTTCATTAGTGGCTTAAGGAGCTTTTCTGAGTTTTTGTTTTATAGCCTCACTTAGATTGTTTTCAACCGGTAGATTTGCAAGCCTCCTTGAACTGTACGGTCTTTGCACAATAACCTACTAAGTCTTTATCTGCCGTTGCTTAGATTCTAATAATTTGTTTCTGAAGCTTACTGATTACTTGACTGTATTGCTCTCTCTTGTCAACTTGAATGTGCTGTTTTTCTTCTTTTCACTCTGGTAAATGGCTCACTTAGTGTGACTTAGTGTCTGAAAAGCGCTCTGTATGGAGTCAGTGCTGATCCTGATGGATCAGAATGCCGTTGTTGTATAATGCATGACCGATGGGCTGGTTTGCTCCAGTGCCAGATCTCGACGGAGAACCCCCGCCTTTGTCTTCATGACTTACTTGCGTTTCTCCTCCCATCTCCAGGCATTCGACCTCCCATCATGAACGGGCCCATGCACCCGCGTCCGCTGGTGGCCTTGCTGGATGGCCGGGACTGCACAGTGGAGATGCCAATCCTCAAAGACGTGGCCACCGTGGCCTTCTGCGATGCACAGTCCACACAGGAGATACATGAAAAGGTAGGGGACTAGTAAGTCTTGCCCAGGAGAGCCAGATTCCTCCCACTATGGGCCTGCAGTGTGTTTGCATGTACAAGCAGCAGTTTCAACCACATTTTTGTTTAACGTTTTTAGTCTGAATTACTGAGGAGGCAGTAATTATGTGTTGCTGATGCTTATGGAGATCCATTTCTCTCACGTACTGCACAAGATAAAGACGTTCGTTACTATAGAGCTGCACTAAGGCTTTAAAAAAACGAGTGGATGATTAATATAAAACTTGACCTGCTGTATTACAAAATAAAATTGTATTTGTAAAAAGACATGGCGTGTCCGTGTCACCTTGTTTAAATACATTGCTTTTGTTTTACCTCATTCTTAAAACAACCAGGACAATACTGTATGTAATGTGACATGTCTTATTAGTTAAGTCAAACAGAGATGGAAAAGTCTCTATGACTTTCAGAGAAACTGATAGAAGTCAATGTACAAGTGCACATTCAAGTGTGATGATGGGACTGAACGCAAAGTGTGCTGTGGTACAGTTCGTAGAGATCAAATTATTCTAAAAGAAAGGCAAAGGAAACCAAATTCAATTAAAAAATGTTTACTGTAAGACAGGGGCTTTTGAAAAAATGAGTAAAGTATCCAAAGCATCGATAGAAGAAAATACATTTAGTGTAGCCGAATTGGAGGTAAAAACTGTTGGCATATGGTCAAAACTGGCCATTAAAAAATGTGAGTAAAAACAGTTACTAATACTACAGTATATTTTTTGCTTAGAGATATATAGGAAATTGTCTCATGTTCTGTTTATGGCTTATGGAAGTAAAAAATAACATTTTAGAAACTTCAATTATGCAAAACACTTTCAGTGACCCTTTTAAATTATTGATATATTCATTCCGGAAATTATTTTTTTTCCCTGTGTATCCTGGTAGAGAGGTGTGATGCTTTAAATATTCCTGCTCAGGCACTTTAAAATCTGGTTGCCTGGGAGCAGTGAGCGAACTCTTTTAAAACTCTGAGAGCGAGATTTCTGGGATTACTGATGACTGAAATAAACCTTTCTGTGACTTCTGTGACCTTTATGGAGTCATCTGTCTTGGCTCTGTAATTTGTGAAACATTGTGGTAATGAATTCTACAGTACCCGGAAGTGGTAAAGGTTTAAATTATAGGCCAGATTAAGTCTCTACCATGTCTCTTTAAGATTATTGAAGAATCTTGCATCCTGCATGGCAAAAAAAGATGTGTAATTATATTCTTTTAAGATAAGGATATGCTCTGGATGATACTAACCCAGCTTCCCAGCGTGAATCTTAAGTTACTGCTATAGTCCTGTGATACAGAATCAGAAAATACAATGAAAGGGAAATTCATGGTTGGTTGAAAACTCTTTTCAAAAAAGCAGCTCAAAACTTGGAGCCAAACCCTTGGGAGGGTTCTTATTAAGAGATGGCTGCCTGCAAGAGGTTTAAAGGGAATTTTTTTTTATAATAAATCGGTGTCAAGTTGTGGTTAGGGCTCTGAACGTTGGTATTGGAAAGTTCAGACGTTGTTGGAGCACTGATGGTGCTGATTTGAGCAAGGTATTTCACTCAGTTTGCTTCAGTGTCATACACGTCTACAGTATGTAATGATAAACATGTCAGCCAAATAAACGAAGTAGCAGAAGTGGATCAGGTAGTGTGTATCTTGATCCAAGTACTTAAAATCGGTAAAGACATCCTAGTGGACGTCTTCAGAATCAACAGTGAAGCACTAACCGGAGCAGAGTGAAGCATGAATAGGGAACTAAATGAAAGTGTGTTTAAATCTGAGAACAAAGGACGTTTCTTTACCCAAAAATGTTGTCTTGTGTTTCTACCAAGAAAGGATGAGATCTTCAGGTCAATTAGCTACTAACTACCAAATGGGCTAGATGGACCCAATGTCCTCCTCTTGTTTGGAGCCTCTCTTATGTTTATGTGAAGCTCCTCTTTTAACATTTAGCTGTTGGCTCTTAACTTGCCTTTGTGCACCCTTTCAAAACTCAGGTGCTGGCCTCTTCAGGAAATACGGTACAAGATATACTGAAGACAGGGGTACACAGGGCTTTTCTCTCCAAATGAATTAAACATAAGTTGTTTTGCATCTCAGAAAGAAAATTACTTTTTTGTGAAATGAAGCGTGTAATGTCACTTCCAAACAGAAACATATGCTGAAATGCAAATAAAATTATAACACAATTCTGTGATACACCGTACTTGCAGTATGTTGCTTTTGCATTATTTATAGAAATCTGGCGTATTCTTTCAGTGACATGATTTCACATTTAAATTGAAAGGAGACAGCTCTGTTTTTCATGGTGCTACATAAAAATGTGTTGTTTTGATTTGTTACTTCATGTTTTCTACCTTGTTTCTGAGATTTATTGAAATATTCTTCCGTGTTCAAAGCCAGTCGGCTGACATGGTGAGTAAAGGTTACTACAGGGAAGGCCCAGCCTTTTTTTTGGTGACAAATGTGGTTTTAAGTTACCCGTCATAACGTGCAATGAAAAATCCATTCATGCTTAAGAGAATAAAAAATAAATAACCTATTCCAATGAGAAAAATAAACAAGTACAAAACTCCCTTTAACCAGTACTAATATACTGTATGAAATTATTGTTTTTTTTCCAAATTAGAGCTATTAAAAGTATTAAAAGTCTATTTTTTAAGCCCAGGTTGAGCTCTGCGATCACAGGTTCAAGGATGGGTCATGCCACCAGCTACTGTAAGTGTGTGTCCGTGGTTCCCCAGGAACTGGCTGGGCACCATCAAGGGGTGCGTGGGATTAGTCAGTCAGGGCCTCTCTGGTCTCAGCAAAACAGCAACCCCTGCGGCCTCCTGGTGTTTACAAGCAAGCCCAGCTGAGGGTGAGGGATGCACCGCCCTTCCCAATTGCACTGAACCCCCTTACTCATCCCAACCGTTAAAGATGGTTGTGGAGTATCATGGTTCTAGGATTTTCGTGGTTTGGAGCTTTGCTTTGCTGTCACATTATTTTGTTAATTAAATCATGAGGCCGTGTGGCCTTTGGCACATTACAACATGAGTGGCTGGAAGGTCAGAGGAATCTGGTAACGCTTCCTCACTATCTCCTGTACATGATTGCAAAGTTTGTTGCTGCAAATGGAAATGCACAATTAGCTATTCCATATGAGGCATTATAAATAAAAAAATCTTTTTTTTAACTTTATAAAACCATCTGTTCTTCTTGAAAGGGATCAGTTTTTAAAGATAATTTATTATTAAAAGTTCAGTGCGCTGTATGTTTCCCTCTCTCCCAGTTTATCTTCCCACAGTTTCAACAGCCTCTTGGATCACTCCCCTAAATTACAGCATCGTCCATTCTACAAGTCTTTAAAAGTGTTGAGAAAAAATGTCATTAATGCTGTCCAAATTGCTGAATTGATATTTTTACGGTTTCTTATTGTATTACCCTGGAAAAAGTCCAAGCTAAACCATGGAAAAGTGCATACTTTGATCAGGAAAGCAGATGGAGAACTTTTTTTTAGCTTAGTCCAAGGCTCATTGAAGCTCTGAAGTGAAAAAAGATTGAGCTTGTTGCATAATTAATAGTTGTCTTTTAAATTTAATTAACAGACAGTGCTGGTTGAAAAACTGTTCAAAGGAAGGTAATCAAAATAAAAGCAGAAATTGGTAAATGTGAGTCTTACAGAACAAGAGACCATTATTTTATAGACAATTATTTTGGCCCAAATCTGTCATAGCCTACACTTTCCATGGATTAACACTGATTTGCTTTTATTACTAAGTATTGACATTCCCTGGAACACTATAATGCAATCTGTTATGGAACTAACACTTTTTCACAATATGCCAATGTCTGAGAAGAACAAGGTGTTTTTTGTAGTTTCTAGGCCTGACTTTGGTTTTAGCATGGATGTTGGAGTGTGCAGGCGTTTAGGGAACATTTTCCTTGCTGTGTAGCCTTGTTGTATGACACCTTATTTGATCAAAGTCAAATGATGAGCTCTCTTTGAAAACTTCAGTTGTGCCATACAAGGATCAGCTTTTCCTACAGTTCCAAGAAAAAGTTTATTAATTTCTTACCATGATACTTGTTAACTGATCATTTCAAGAGTTTACATATATCTACTTATTCAAAATTATAGGAGCCCAAATGGTGTAATTAGTTTAAGAAAATGAGTAATTAACAATCAGTGAGATTGAGAAATCACATGAGAAATAAAAACAGAACCCACAGTTTACTTAGCACAATTAAAGGGGTACTTAAAATCCAATGGTGAAGTAATTGGCTAACAAGTAAACAAGAACTGAGCTTGGGCATCCTGACCCTGCTGTATATAAGAGTCAGAAACTTTGTGAGTTTATCTTTCACCATAGACGTTAGTTAAAACTTATCATGCCATGACCAACAGAGATTTCAAAGGACCTCAGAAAATGAGCGGTTGATACTCATTGGTGTGGAGAAGGTTACAAAACCATTTGTAAACATCCAAGTCTCCATCTATCCACTGTCTGGCAGAAAATGTCTGTCACCATGGTGACTATACCCAGGACTAGTTATCCTGCTAAAAACTCCCCAAGAGCAACTCGGAGAAACATCCAGAAAATCACAAAGAACCCCAGGATAATATCTTAGGATCTGCAGGCCTCTCACGCTGTGGTTAATGCCAGTGTTCATGGCTTAACTGCTAGAAAAAGACTGGTTTTCATTGGAGGATAGCCAGGACGAAACCATTTCTCTCTTAAAAAAGAACATTGCTGCCCATCTCAAATCATCATAAAGCACCAGGATGATGAAAAGACTACTGGAAGAATATCCTCTTGACAGATGAATCAAGCGTCTATCCAAATGAGAAACACTGCCTTCCAAAGGAAGACCCTCATCCCAACCATCAAACATGGTTGTAGAGTAGCATGGTTGTGGGAGTTTCTTGGTTTGGCACTGCTTTTTAATCACATTAGTTTGTTAATTAAATAATCTAAATTTAGTTTTTGTTTTGTTTTGTTGTCATTTAATCAGGATATCAGGATAGATATGATATTATCTTTTTTAAGACTTTCATGAAGATCTAATTACATTTTTGTTCTAATATATACAAGAAATAATGTCAATTTTTTTCCACACAGCAAAGGTTTTCTGTCATCCAAGTTAAGAAAGATAAGAGTAAAAGAATAATCAGGAAAATCTTTGAATACCATTTGTTGTTACATGTACATTATGTTTTGTATATTTGCTTTTGAGTTTCTAGAAGTACCATTTTAGAAAGATCAGACCTACTGGAATATTTTTGTATTTCATACTAGAATATTTCATTTTTCAGGCTGTACCAATTATACCACTGCTATTCAGTGTGAATCAGGTGTCTTTTCCTCCAACCTCTGCGGGCATTGAAAAATTAAATCAGGAACTATTAATACTTTATAAGAGTGAGGGCAAAAGGACCATGGTTATTTAAACAATTACATGCATTTGTACACTTGAATAAAAGAAATTGACTTTTGTTACTTGCAGAGTATTATTATTTATAACGAGGGTAATATTATGCTACTAGTGTGACTTTCCTCCAGACATGCCTCTTAATACCTTTTCCCAATATGGTTCATACACATCAGAACTTGTCCTCTTCTCACTGACACTTTGTTCATTTCACTCGGCTCTTGAGTGCCCTTAAAAGAAGTTGACAGGGGAAAGTGTTGAACTCTAGAAAGTGCCCATTAGTGTTCTTTCAGAACTAATGTTTGCCCAAGTTCTGAATATTTGTGAATGTAACTGGTACACTAAGGTTGCAAATCTCTTGTTACCAAGTGGAATATTGAAAAGGGTTTGTGAGAGGTTACAGAACGCTTATGGAGCCCTGTAGTTAAGTGTTTTTGAGGTTGGAGAACCTATGTTAATACTGTAAATTATGCATGATTGTAATTGGTGATCATTATTGTCAGTCCTGTCAAAAAATTAAAACATTAGCAGTTGATAAATAGTGTCTTTTCAGGGGGTAAAACACAATAGTGATGAATCTTAGGAATTAGTAGTAGTGTATGACACTCATTAGCAGCACTGTGATGCTGCCTTATTCATTAAATGTATGAAGCCCAATAAATCTGCTACTGACATCTCAAATTTTGGCTGAAAGGTATTCAATTGGTGCTATTTTGAGTGGTGGCAGCTGGTCAGGGAAGCACAAGTATTCTAGACCAATAAACATGCACATTGACATGTTGGAAGGCTTGTAGAATGTCAGTCAAGTGATCAGTGAGGTATACGTTTCCATTTAAAGACATGAAAAGGTGCCAATCCACCCATCCGATCTGTAAAGAGGTGCCAACGATAAGTAGAACAGGGCAGTTCTTAGAAATCTGGCCATCTGCCCTTAATTGAATGGCGAGGGCCAGACTGTCATAGGCACACTAAATGCTAATGACTGCTTCTGTCAAGCTGGCACCCGCAAGTGTGCCCTATCAGCTAGAGCCGTGTCTGTCCTATCAAAAAAAAAAAAGAAGCCCAACAACTTACTCTTTGGTTTCCAGGTTCAAACAGGAACAGAAGAGGATGGTTTCACAGTGCACAGTGTTAGCCTATCTACCTGTTGCACTACCTCATACCAGAGGCTTGTGGTTATAGTAGGGGTTAGGTTGGTGTACTTTTGCCGTTAAGTATCTGACTTTAGGAAGACCTAGTTGGGTAGCAGGTAATCTTGAAGAATATTGGAAATTTATGCAACAATGCAAGATGATACATGACATAATTTACACAAGTATTTTAACGTGCAGTACAAATACAGTACATAAATCTACTGTATATTTTGAAGATAATATCTAAGAACACTGCTCTTCTGATTCTATTCTGCAAGCACTGTACCAGGATGAACATAGGGGTGGGAAAAAATCAGTTCTTAGATGCATAGTGATTCTCTCTTGTACGATTCTGCATCGATTCACAAAACTCCATAATTGGTCTTGTAATTTTTGTTTTTAATATGCACAGTACTAAGCATTTCAGATAAAAACAATTCAACGTAAAGTAAGGGACAAATAGAGCTAATAATGGTTTCGTTTTTTGGGCTTAGAACGAAACTAATTGCGTTGTGACGTATGGGTTAACAGGTGCACCATGCCTACATTTGAACTAAGCTAAGCTACCCGCTTTGTGAAGATGGATAAACTCCGGCCTGCACCCTCTGCTTGGAAAGCCACCGTATGGGCACATTTTGGATGTTATGAAGTAAAAGGTGAAAATGAACTGGATAAGAGCCATGCAGTGTGCAAGCTGTGTCATATTTCAGGAATACAACAAACATGCAAAATCACATTTCACGGAGTTGGAGGAAAAATGGCCTGGTCTTGTTGCTGCCGAACAGAGAACCCTCGAGCAAATGTCAAAGCTTCCACATAGTTTGGAAAGGGCGAAGCGAATCACCAGGTCTATAGCACATTTTCTAGCAAAAGATTTGCGCCATCTACGCTGTTGTTGAAAACCCGGGCTTTCGCTTAATGTTGCAAACACTGGAGCCGAGGTACAACATACCGTCTCTGCGTCACTTTAGTGAAACGGCAATACCAACACCCTACAACGAGACCAAAACTCAAGTTTTGGAATCATTGAAGAAAGCAAATAGGGTGGCAATAACCTGTGATGCGTGGACGTCCATTGCAACAGATTCCTATATCACTGTTACCGCGCACTACATCACTGAAGAATGGCAGCTCGTGTCTCGTGAACTCCAATCACACAGTAAGAAAAAAAATCATCATGTACAGAAACAAAAACAAGATGCGTCGAGAATCTATTTATAATCCTGAATTGAAATCGAATCAAATCGTGAGGTGCCTAGAGATGCCTTGAGATCAGTTTCTGTTTTTAGATTTTAGTTCTTATTTTCATGTATTTGCTTTAGTGAAGAAATGAAGACTGCCTGCAGTTACGTTTTATTGTATGCAATATACATTATTCCGTCCTTTTACCAGACACACATCAGAAACTAAATACAGCCTGTTTCTGGCTAACTATATATACTTAGAAGCATTAAAATTGACTGTCAATGTAAATATAACCAATTTAGAGAGATGCAAAACAAATCTGTCTTTGAGACTTAATTCAAGGCTGTGCTAAACCTGCCATTTTTTCCTAATCATACTGCAGTTTTGACATCTTACTGCCCAGTATTCAACCATTGTGCCATTTGAGATTCTGTGCCTAGGAGGGTATATGATCTCAAAAACACAGGACAGCAAAAAACGTGTGCTACATTTTTAACAGATTCTACTATAGATGCAGTGAAAACTAATTACAACTGGATTTGCTACAGTACATTACATATTTTCAGCAAATTTGATTGAAGTACCTGTTAACAGAGCTAATGCATTTGTGGGGTTGTTCCACAGATCTGTATCTAGCACTGACAAAAGGGTGTACTTCCGTATCTGAATTAACACGCTTCTACAGTACTGTGAAGATATTCTTTACAGAGACATTGAGAAAAATGACACTGTCTCATATTTAATTTGAATGGAAAAGCACATTATGTAACTTGATTATCAAGTGATTTGTCACTTTGACAGGTCCCCTGCAGAAGAATGATGACATAAGTTCATATGGGACTACATTTAATTGGGGCAGGCTCATGAAATCCTGTCACATCCTGCTTTCTCATGCTGGTTCCTGCCAGAAGCCCAACAGCTTGCAACGTGTGGACTAGTGATTCTGAGCACAGAAGACTGACCAGGAATGCTGGGAAATAGCACAACAGCCCTTTGCGGCCATTGACAACAGCTACCTTCAGTGCCAGAGCGCTGGTCTTGCCATGGTTATCATACCAACGGTCAGCTGCCTAGCACACGATTCTGTACCTACAGTATATCCCTGGGAAGTGTGGGCTGTGTTTTCTTCACAGAAATGGGTCTCTGCAGAGTTTAGCCCCTGCTTGCACACTACCCACACACCAGTGGATACACTTGCCAGGAGTCTCCAAGATGGCCTTTGGCCACATTTCAAGGCCAGAGCGCTTGGATTGCTTAGTTGCTCTGTATGTGTCCAGAGCAAAAAGGCCTTATTAAATCCCTTTATGAACTAGCTGCTTATTAGGTCTCTAATCTAATAAAACATAATCTGAAAGAAAAGTGAATCTAGGGTTGATGGCTTCTCTGTTTGACAAGTAGGGCACCTTGATGTTGGGATAATATATATTTATATTTCTTTTTGCCAGGTACTGAATGAAGCAGTGGGGGCTTTAATGTATCACACCATCACATTAACACGGGAAGACTTGGAAAAATTCAAAGCACTTAGAATAATAGTCCGAATTGGCAGCGGGTTCGATAACATCGACATCAAGTCTGCTGGAGACCTAGGTAAGCTGAAAGAACTTTGAAACATAACCTCTCTTCAGATCTAATGGTTTTGGTTCAGAGATTTCTCTGCACTGTTTACTCACCTTCTTTAAGAGGTTTAATGTTTAATTGTGTCTGTCCAAACTGGATATTAATGGATGGTAAATGATATACTACATAATTGCTATGGTTTCAGAGGCCTTGTATTATCTCGTAAAGGCATCCCCTGAAAACAGGATCAGCACTACGGTGTGAAATGGCATCATAGGATACTGGGTGTGCTTCTTGAAGAAACGTCATGCTACCAAATTGGCTGAACCCATTGTGGATTTACTGGGGACCATCACAGGGCTTTTACCATCGTTTGAGAGAGCAAAGGCTTTTCCAAAAATTTTCCAGCCCCCCCTTTCTTTTTTGCAAACCAAACGTCTTGGACACATTATCAGGCTGGCGTCGGTGCAGCATATAACCTATCTAGATTTTGCTTAACCACCAGAGTGAGTGTGAATGCATATCATTTAGGTTGCAAAGGAACAAGTGAAGGTTTATTCCATACTGAAAAGAAAAGATACGACGCTTCAGCTGTGGAGCTTTCGTCAGGCGTCTCTTTTCTTTTCAGCATGGAATAAACCTTTACTTGTTCCTTTTGCAGCCTACATATGCCGACGCAGCTGAAATAGAACTGTCTTTTAAGTTACTGTTCTTTCATTTCACAACCTACAAACTGCAAATGCCATTTCTATCCACCTCCACCTGCTGGTCCAAATATGGAAAATTGAAAGCATATCCCAAGAAAATTGTATATTCTGGAGATTTCCTTCCTATTCATTTGTTTTGCTTAAGGAGTATATTTTTACATTTTATTTATCCTTTGTAATGTATCCCCACTGGTCTAAGCAGTAGTTATCTTATCAGGAGTACCAGCCTGCTATCATGTGTGAGCCTCTTGAAACCCAGCTCCCTCATATTAACCTCCCCTGTTCTCGCTCCAGCTGTTTTCAGTAAGGCTGTTACATGTTTGTCCCCCACTTTATCCCAGCATGCCTCTGTGCTCGGCTCCTATTGATGGCACAGACAGCCAGCCAACCAAGAGTTTACAAATGAGACAAAAATAAAATCCCAGACTGGATGCTGAGTAATGCTGAATCACCAGTACTAACCTGCCATTAATGTCTGCCTCTTTAACAGCTTATTTTAAAGTAAAATGCATCTACCCAGACATAAAAAATGTAAAAGCATATGCTGAAACTCATGCATGTTACCTGAGTGACAGAAGGATAAAATGTAATATGTTAGCATGTATTGTTCATATACAAATTCAAAAACTACAGTGTACACCCAAAATATTTAATAAACAACAGTTATTGATTTTAAGGGCGAATTGACATGTGCGGAAGTGCTCTGAAGTGTGATTCTAAATATTTTATACATTTACTATTCACCCCCTTAATGATCTCCCATTTTGTTGAATTGCAAATGATGTCTGCACATTTTTTAAGAGAACATCAAAATCAAAACATGGAGAGCTCAAATGGAACACTTTACGGGTGAAAGTTACATTTCAAGAAACAGCAAAGAAGGTAAAAACTTAAATATGCAGATTGTATAAATATTTACCTGCTTTGCTATGACAAACCTAAACTAGTTCAGGAGCACACATCTACTTTGATAAGTCTCAAAGTTGAATGACCTGATTCATTTGAAACATGATTTCAAATTTGAGATTAAATACGATTGTTCAGCATACCACCTAAACATTGCCTAGATTAGGCTGTCCTGCCAAGTTGAGCAGCCAAGTAAGAAGGAAATGGGTTAAAAAAGCTACTGTAAATCCGGCAGACATACAGACTTCAATGGTGGATAGGGGAGAAAATGTCTCTGTCAGCAATATCCCAGTCACTGCACAAAGCTCAGCTATGTGGCAGAGTGGCAAACCCAACCCATCAAGATTTCAGTAGAGCATTTCCGTCTTACTTCAAACATGTTGCAAAAGGTTTTGTGTTCAGAAGGAAAAAATAGGAACTATTGGATCTTAATGCAAAGTGTTAAGTCTGGTTCAAACCCAACACATCAACCAGATAACACCATCCCTATTGGCAAGCATGATCGTGGCAGTTTTATTTTATATAAGGGAAAATGGATGGAGCAAAGTACAGGCACCTCTTAGAGGAAAATCTGCTTCAGTCTGCTAAAGACCTAGAACCAGGATGAAATTTAATCTTTCAGCAAGATAGTGACCCAAAGCACAAGGGCAAAACTAACTAGGAGAAAATGAATGTCCTTGGGTGGCCCTTTCAAAGTCCTGAGTTGAAACTGATAGAAAATCTGTGGCAAGACCTGAAAATACTTGTCCAATGATCCCTGGCCAACTTGACTTAACCACGATACAGCACATCACCCCAGCTAAAAAAAACCCAACTGCTAGTACAATATGTTGTCCTGCTGGAATATGGTCTGATGACCCCACAGGGAGGTTTCAAATGAGGTCCCAGTGCCATGCAGTTGGGTTATTATCAGTCACCAGTAGTGGAGTTCTAAGGTGACTAGATACTCTTGCCCCGACCATTACACTTGGATGATGATGTGATATCTTGGAGATATGTCAAGACTTGTGATATCCTGGATTGTGACCTGTCATTGATGGACTGTAATTTTTTGCCAGGTTAGATTCATAAGCCGGGCTGGTTTATGAACACCACAGATGGCAAGTCAGTACACTGACATTGCCCACCTACAAACAAACTGTGTGGACAAAGATGTAGCTCTCTTAATAAGCAGGGCATATTGGTTCCTCTCTATCTTTTTCTTTATTGATTTCCTAAAGGCTTGACATTCAACAGGTGAAAACACATCATCACCTGTACCCAATCAATTCCTTCGGTAATGAGGTGATTTAGTGCTCATGCAAGAATCAATCAAGTGCCACACTCGATGACAGTCAGTCATGCATAATCAATATATTAAAATGACACTGAAGTGGAACATGTAAATACTTCGCATCTCCAGCATTGCAATATTACCACTTAACCACATTGTGGAAGGTGTTGCTGGGGTCTGTTAATTTAGCCTTCAACAAAAGTTATGCTAAGGTGCAATAAAGCTGACTTGCTTCAGCAGCTGCAGTGACTTAACGCTACAAAAGGCAGGACCAACACCAACAAACATACAGTACCATGAACAGGATAAAGCAGATCAATGTCTGCTGCATAGCAAAGGACAGAACTTAGAGCAGGACAAGAAGTAATTACATATAAAAAAACAGGACAAGCACTCAGATTGCGAGACAAACTTCTTTCTGACTGTATATACAGTAAGAGCTGGGAAACCCAGTTTGTCTGTTCTGCAGGGCAGACCCAGCGTGCGTTGCTGGACTTACTGAGGCTCAATTAAACTGAATCTGCAGAAGACTGTGTCCTGCTCCTCTGATTAAGAATTTCCCACAACAACCCCAATAACATTTTACTGCTAATTCTGTATACTTTATGTTGTAAAACATACAAGCATAAAGTACCAGTTTCTTTTATGCACAGTATACATACATTCAATATACAGAGTCCTACAAAAGTATTCATACACTTGATTAAATAGAAACACAAAATATCCTGTAACAGAAAGATTTCTGAATTGGATGACATATCTTGCTTAAAACAATCTAAAAGTTATACTGTAACCTTTATATTACTTCACTGAGAAAAGTCATATTTGTCGTAATGTAAGATCAGAGAACACTAAATTAATGTTTATCCACTCTCTTGTAGTTAGTATTTTGTAAAACCTGTAATATGACATGGTGTTCTAGCACTTCTGAGGGGAAAGTTTCACCATTCCTCCAGGCAGAATTGCTAGTCCCTTCAGATGTTTTGCTTTCATTGTACGACCTGCTTTCTTGAGTCTTAACAGAAAAGTTCAGTTGGATTGAGGTTTGAAAAAATGGCCAGTCTTAAACATTTATTTTGTTTACAGTTACCAACGTCTCTGTTGATTTGGCTGTATGCTTTGGGTCATTGTCATGTTGGAATATCAATTCTGAATTGTGTTTGAGAGAAGGAACCAGATGTTTAAACCAAATGTCCTGGTACCCATTGCAATTCGCCCTGACTTAACAAGCATTCCTAGATCTATATATGTAACAAACCAGCCCTGAAATGTGATAGACTCCCCCATGATTTTCAACATGATTAACAGCTTTTTTATGCTGAACGTGATGCTGATATTCACGTCCAAAACACTCAGTTTCCATTTTGTTTAACAATAATAGAAGGCTCCTTTTGTCTTTGAGACGTAGTGTGGCAATTTCAAGAATCCTCATTTGCATACAAAATAGTTTTCAATTCTTTGTGTCCAGAAGATGTCTATTTCCGTAAGAGATCTTTATCTGTTGCCTTTGAATTTACAGTTATCTTCTGAACCACTTGTCTCACAACCCGTGATAGCAAAATACACTTCCTGGAAGGGTTGCTTCTATACAGTAGCCATAAATTTCTTAATTACTTCTGATTGTCTTCCATGTGTTATCTCCTTTCATACCCCGAGAAAACCAGAAACCATAGGAGGCCTCTATTTGGTTTCAGTGGTTTGCATTGCACTTCCAAAGGGCAAGATTTTATTTAAACTTAAGGGTGTAACTTAATTATTACAGACACGTTTCTCCTCCATGCAGTTCTACTATTTTTACACTATAATGTTTGTAAGCAAATTTCATAGAATGTTGTAAACAAGACACATTATCCAGTCTGTAATTCATTCTGTTATATAATGTTTTTTGTTCCTAATCCATTATTACCGTAGTGTGTTAATGCCTTATTTTTTATTTAATTGAAAGGTTTTTGTTTTCTCTATGAGGTGGTGTGGACTCTCTGTCACTATCAGTCTGGCAGGAGTTTAGACAAAAGTGTTTAAAATCCAACTAAAAAGTACTGCTATAACATCATTGGCTCATATTATTATGAAGAATATTGCATAATAATAATAATAATAATAATAATACATTGTGGTTTTCAACCATAAGGATTCATACATTGGTTTGGAATTCCAGAAAAAAATAATATCCTCATCTAAAAACAAATGTGCCCTTTAATTTAAAACTGTGGAAAATTTACACTTTATATCAGTCAAGGTAAAAGCTTCCTTATTAGTATTTCCCGGGTTCCTGGAAGTATGTAAATTATTTCACTAATGCTTAATTAACTGCAACAACCACTGTGTTGTCTCACCTCCTAGGCAGGAGAGCAGCAATACAAAGACCTTTCATGGAAATATACACACCACATTCTCCGAGTAAATCATGGTCGTGTATTTTGGGCTCCATGAACACAACATGTACATTAATGCACATGCATAAAGCTTTTGCCCACTCTTATTATTGTTATTATTATAAAATGTTATCCTATCCTTTTGACAGATATAGATTTTAATAGTGAGAGAGATGAAGAAATACAGGGTGAGCAGAGAGCAAGGTAAAAGGGAGAGTGTGAAAAGGCCACTGATGATAGGAGGTAAGTCAGTTCAGTTTAGGTCAGAACTCCAGGAGAGATTAAAATTGTTAGTGTCCTCCATTAGCAACACAATTATGTTAGGTTGTTAATTGTTTCAAACAGATCATAGGATCAAAAAACCCCATGTTATACACAAACAGAAAGACATTCTTCATGCTAAAAAAGAATGCATAATTTGTTTTAGGTGCACAGACGTCTCAATCAACTATAATGAAAAATAGATTAAAAGTGTGACCATACTCATTATTTACTCTCCAAAGCCTGATTATTTCTTCTTACATATAATAGATACAGACACTTAACAGTCAGATTGTTTCATGCTTAACCTATGCTTGGGCAAGCACTTAAACCACTTAAGCCACTAGGTATGGCAAACAGTAAGTTTGAAAGTGGGTATGGATAAGCCCATATATTCCTAACCAAAGTGCTTGATCTCTATTCAAGACAGAAGCAGTATACTAAGAAAGCTGTTCTGTGTTGAAGATGTGATGTGATATGATGTGATGATTTTTGTATAAGCAGTATACAGTAGCAAGGGCTTCTGGTTTTTGGTTTTGATTGGTAAATACTCCTGTTAAACAGATCAAATATACACAGTGGAAAAACATCATAAAATGGTTATTCAGTTTACATCGACTTTATTCCTTTTCCATTACAGTTTTAAAGGAAACTTTGTCCCTTGCCTTACTTATTTTACAGTAGAGGGTGTGACTTGAAAAAGACATTCAGACATAACCAAAAAACCCATCTTTATTGCACAATACTGAAAGCAACAAAAACACTGATTTTAAAGTATCTGCAAAATTATAATACCTTGATTTATTAACATAATTCATTCCCTGGAAACTGGTCAAAGGTGAAAATTAGTGAGCTGAAAATAAAATTCCCTTTACATGTTAAACCTTTCAGTTTGCTCCTGCCAATCAAGAATTATTCTCTCAATATTATTTCTTCCCTAACAGAGCACTGAATTGTCAAGTAAGAACACTGTTAATTATGATAATTACCCTTTACCTTAGTTCAGTATTTAACAATAAACAAGATAGGAGGATGGCTTCTTCAATTAGGCTACTAAGGACATGTTTTCTTTGTAGAGAAAATCTCTTCAGAACTGCGTGAAACAGGTATGAAATTGAATGCTTTGTTATAGCAAAAATTCAGAAAGGTATTTGAAAATCAAGGGGTGGTTGAATTTCTTTTAAAGTCTAACAAATATATTCATTTTTTGAAGAAAAACACCGAAAAGCAGAATCAATAATGTTAATTTCAATAAAAGAGGGTCCCATCCAGTGACACCTCTGCACAATGTGCTTGTCCCGAACCCTCTGCCACACTGAACGAGGTTGTGCCTTCTGCTCTGCCCTTGCAGGGATCGCAGTGTGCAACATGCCCGCCGCCTCGGTGGAGGAGACGGCCGACTCCACCATGTGCCAAATCCTCAACCTGTACAGACGGACCACCTGGCTGCACCAGGCACTGCGGGAGGGCACGCGGGTCCAGAGCGTGGAGCAGATACGGGAGGTGTCGTCGGGAGCCGCCCGCATCCGGGGAGAGACCCTGGGGATCATTGGCCTTGGTCAGTACGACAACAGCTACTCTGAGAATCAGTCACAAAGTAATAGAGACGTTCACGCATGCCTATCCAACAGATTGTAGGATTGACTTGCTTGTAGGTCGTAAGGTGAAATAAAACATTAGGACATGGGGATCTGGGATAATTACATTACAAGAAATTGGAATCTGGAGTCTGGTTTGGGTGGATTTCCAAAACCTCAATCTGATGTTGATGTGGCACCAGGGTCAACACACTTTTTTGCTTTTGTGAAGGTCTTGCATTTGTGAGTGTTTTTAGGATCATGCCATGAGGAACGGAGACTTTTCAGTATTTTTTTTTTCAGTAAAGAGAAACAGCTGCCAACATCAATTCCATTAGTGAGCCAATTGGAGCACCTGTTTTTCAAGTAATATCCAAGCCCAGACATGCACAGCATCAGGGCTATAAAGAGACCAGAATCCAAGTTGGTTCCATATCACCAGGCTCTATGAGATTAATGATAAGCACACCTGTAACAACCGTGAAAAAGTATCTCTGGAACGTTTAGTGTACTGAGCGGCACAAGTGACAGTGATGTGAAGTGAAATTGAGAAAATCATTCAGGGCCTCAGGCTATGCTGAGAATGTTAGCTTGGGGCACAATACCAAATTATAATACAAAAAACGAACAGAAGATGCCTACTGTGTAATAATTGCAGTTTTCACCACACGTATTGTACCGACACAAATGCCTTTAATCTTAAAACTTTATCATTTTTGAAGTAGCATCAAAGGAGCTCATACTTGACAATAGTTGTCAGTCGGGGCTTTAAAAGATACAAGAATACCTACAGTCTCACGAGCAGTGTTTGTAGGTATGCATGAGATTCCATGGCTTTAAATCTGTAGTGACACACAGTCATGTTCTGTTTACAAGCAGACATCAACCTGTGGGACTGGTTTCTTAGAGCCTTTCTTTGGTTTTCTGTGCCAACAACCCTCATTGGTAAACCTTTTACATTCTGAAAATGACACATTTTGCTGCAATAATATGTCTGTTTCTCACAACACAAAAGGAAAACTAACTGTCCTATAAAAAAAAATCATTTCTTATAGTACATTAAAAATCCCTATGAAGATCAGCAGTCATGATCTGTAAGTGAAGCAACATTTCCAGACCAATTCCCCACTATGGTGACAGGCAGCACTGATGTACTGTAGGAAACAAAGACATTCAGTTAAGATGCTAAAACAAGGTCTTAACTTAAGATGCCATGGCACCATTTGTAACATTGAAATTAATCTTCTGGGCTTGCACAATCTAGATTTCCTACATTTCCCCCTTATTTAAATTGCTGAAGTAGTTTCTCACTTCTCCGTGTGGTTTGCTGTGTATTAGGGCTGCTGGCTTGTAGTGGCTGCAGCACATCTCCCAGGAGGGTGCTCTGCTTCGGTGCTGGATTAAGTGAGTCCTCTCATAATGAATACAATAAACATGCGCCTGACACCCTTAATGGGGGCAAAAACGACCTTGCCAAATGAAACAAATCTGCTAGTTTTCTAGGAAATTTGTTTTCTAAGTGGAGTATTGTCATGATCATCTTCGTTTCCAAAGGAGTATATACTGTACTAAGAATCCATGCCCTTTTGGTGAGGGAAAGACTTGGTTGTAATGTACTTATGAAGTATTTATACCCTTCAGCCACTTGGAGTTCTAAAAGCAGCTTTCTGCTCTATTCCACCAGATATCCCTTTTCTACCATTTGCATTCTAAGATCAAGTCTGATCAAACCACCAAAGCAGACAGGAGAAGCAGAGTATTGTTATCTTTTGTAAATGACTTTAAATTGTTTAAAGTGGGAATGATCCCAACAAATGCACAAATACAGTTATTCTGTTCTTGCATCTTTGCAGCAATTTCATTTCTAACTACTAGAAGGTAAAATGTAAATGTGTCCCATTTGAAGAAAGCTTTCATCACTCAGAGGATCTACACACTGTCTTGTTGGCAGTCTTTGTAAAAATGTTTGTGTCGTTTTTGTTCCCTTGGGTTGTTAATTTTATCTTCAACTTCAGTATGAATTTTGCTACTTTGGTCTCTTGTATTTCTGCTCCTGTTCCTGCTGTTTTTTCCCCTCATTAATTGCGACTGTCTCCATCCACCTCATAACCCAGTCTTGCTAGCAAATAAAAACGCTATATTGTTTATATCAAATAACTTATATTTATAATAAATAAAACCACCCACCTATTCTCCACTGTCAGCTCTTCTGTTTCCTTCATGGCTCCTACTGGAAATCACTTGGGAAGAGCACTATACAAATCCAGGCAATGAATAATAGCAAATGTGGTATATAACTGTCTTGATTCTAATCACCTTTGTTCCACCCATCTGTTATCAAAATGCCTGTGGTTCCTGGTAAGAGTTGCCGCAATCTGGAGCCTCTTCTGGTGACACCATCAAAAGACACACATACACAAGAACACAAGAGCACTTCAGTGACACGTCCTAATCTAGCCAGCATGTTTTTAGGAGGTGGGAGAAACTAGAACAAGTAGAAACTCAGAACATGCAGACTCCCCACTGAAGGTGCCCCCCTCCCCCACTACCAGGGAACCAAACCCAGGACCAAAGAACAAGGAGCAACAGGAATTGTCACTGTGCTGTCCAGTCACTTTTGTTATTTCTACTAATTGAGCTGTTACAAATATATCCAAATAAGATGAATTACACAATAAATGGTATATTAAAAGGAGTAGCTATGAAGACATGTAGTTGTGGTTTCTGTTTTTTTGGAGGTGTATTATTTGAATTGATGTAGAACAAAATTGTTCTGGGCCATTTAAACACATCCTGTTCTGTACAAACAGGGGATCAATTGTCCCTTAATGGGGATCCGGCTTCTATCTACATGGCATGAATGAGACATGTTGAGTTATTTATTACCCGCACCTTCACATCTGCCCTTATATTTTCATACTGCCCATACTTGCTTAGAATATCAAGTATTTTCGGGATGCTTAAGAAGTTCCACATGACCATTGATGGATAGGGTAAACATCGAGATGGATTTGTAGAATGCCCTCATGGCTTATTAACAAGAGAAATGGAGGGCGAGTGTTCCATCAGGCAGAGCAGCTCGTGGCAGCGCTGAGTGATAATATCCATTTGCGCTTAACGCTTCTTTCAGTCTGGAACAGTGAAAAACTTGTTCTGTTCCCCAAATGAATACATGTATTTTCACAAACCTGTATTAAAACATATCAGACATTGTTGACTGTGTCTTGCGGAATATCCCAGTAAAATCACTGCCCAGTGCAGATTCAGTACCTGAAAAGGGCTACTGACTCTGCTTGAAGTCTGAACACACACCATGTGAAATGCTGTTTTGTGAGAGCTATGCATTTCATGAACTATGCATCATTTCAAGGCAAAAAAGAGCCCCTGCAAAATTTTGGATTGCCATGAAAGAATTTCAGGTCGATTTAATTGCACTTTGTTTTATTTTTTGCTTGTTTGTCAGAACACTTTTTGTCCTTCAAACCATCCTTTCCTGATCGCACAAGCAGAGGGCTATAGGTGCCGCATGAATAAACGCTGGGTATGGTCTCATCTGATTGTACTGATAATGTTTCAGAGGCACTGAAAGAACTGCAGCCGGAGGCAGGATAAGCAAGTGTTTTATAAGGGATAAGTCATTGTTTGCTTACCCATGCTTTCAAATCCATTATCAACTGTGTGGCATATTCTCCGTTTGATTACAGAGACATTCTCCTTGTGAATACCCTGCAGACCTTACTGAATAAATTCGGTGTGCTTTTAAATTTAACTTGTGCTTGCTTTAGCTTCAGGAGCTTCTATGTTTTACCTATTAAGACATCATCAGCTCTCTCATGTGTCTTATTCTCGCTCTGTCTCTTGTAAAAAAAAAAATGTGAGCAATCATTATTAAATTTTAACATCCATGACAACTGCAATTTTACAATCCTGCTTTACTGTGACAGATTTTGATTATAATTTAAATAGCTTGTGGGTTGTGAAATTCAGAAGCCAGTGTCTAGCATCACTAATCTGAGTTGTTAGACCGGTTTACTTCAGTTTCAGAGCACAAGATTAATATTATTAAAGTAATAGTTCCTTACATTTTTATATCTCTTTTCTGGACACTCCACTCAAAGCGCTTTACAGGTAATGGGGACTCCCCTCCACCACTACCAATGTGCAGCCCCACCTTGATAATGCGACAGCAGCCATAGTGCGCCAGAACGCTCACCACACACCAGCTATCAGTGTGGAGAAGAGCAGAGTGGTGAAGCAAATGTATACATGAGAATGAGTAGGAGGCCATGAGTGGTAAAGGCCATGGGAAAATTTGGCCAGGGCTCTGGGTAACACCCCTACTCTTTTCAAGAATTGCCCAGGAATTTTTAATGATCGCAGACAAGTCAGGACCTCTCATCCGAAGGACGACACGTTTTTACAGTATAGTGTCCCCATCACTATACTGGGGCATTAGGACCCACACAGGCAGCAAGGTGAGCACGTCCTACTGGTCCCACTAACACCTCTTCCAGCAGTAACCTTAGTTTTTCCCAGGAGGTCTCCCATCCAGGTACTGACCAGGCTCACACCTGCTGAACTTTAGTGGGTTGTAAGTTGCGAGTTGCAGGGCGATATGGCTACTGGCAATAATCCATTTAGTTCTCACTGGGTTTGGTTATAATTTGTTGAGCACATCTGAATTCGGTCTTACTGACTAGCTGAAGTCATTTAAGATTTATAGCTTGGTATGCACAATCCTAGAATGTGTAATAAAACTTGTGCATCTGATTTATACTTCATGAGTAATACAAGTAATGGAGGATCCTGTGGTTCAGCTCTTACATCAGTCCAGGATAAAGTCATCCACACAAAATAAATCCATTTCATTTGTTAAAAAAATTCATTGTTTTTTTTTCAACATTGATCATTTATTTTTATGAATTCAGGTTCTCTAGTCGGATTTCTCCTGTCATTGCCTAAGGCCAGTGTGTGAATACTG